CATCGTTTTTACCTGTATAAGAATGTTTTTTTGTGGATCGGATCAGTCAATCAAATGATTTACCTTTGTTTCACTTTCAATGTTGACATTCTTTTCCTTTAAATAACTTTACACATACAATTCACATGTTATCCATCTCTAGCTAAGGGGTTAAATAGAAGTTCACATGAATATGGATTCAATGAGGTAGAATTATTCACTTGCAATTGAATAATTCATCATCAATGTTTCTAATAGCTTATTTTGACAAAATTGAACCATACTGGCAGCTAAAAGCGAATAATTATTTCACTATTTCACTTTCATTAATGATTGAACAAAAAAAAATCATATATTAGATTTTTTATATATCTCGTAGCTAGTGCCCCTTTAAAGCAAAGCTTTCAATAATCAACTTAGATAAATCATACAAGAAGGGATCATGCAAAAAGATTTAAACTGGTTTTCTCAGAATAGTGCTTAATGTACAGTTCAGCATTTTGCGAAATAATTTAAGAAAAGTATCATGAACTTAAATAATGGGTTCCAAAATTTCACATTTAAAACTATATTGGTTTCTCTTCTCTCTACCCATTTTTTTAGGTCGATAGGGATTTGTTTAATCAGAAAGGCCAGAATTTGAAAAATTTGCAAGTTTAACACTCTCCACATTAGGAAACTATATTATATTTGTATTCAATGAAAATCAAAGGACATTAATGGTGTTCCCATGCCATATAAATTATTATTTGTCAATAGAAGTTAATAGTGTAAAAATGAATGTTGATGGAATATTCAATAAGAACTTTAATAGAAATCTTTTAGGATATATATAAGTATTGACTATTCAGAGACTGAACATTCAACATTTCTCTTTTGTCATGATTTTTTTCTCTTAAAAAAATGTCTTCCTTAAATTAACCCCAGTGCCACTTGGAATACCAATAACAACTTCATTGCCTCTTATTTGATATCGTTGTTTTCAATAATAATTCATTAGTCATTGAGTTATAGTTGGTGTCAGTTTCCTTTAGTGATTGATATGTTTAATGTGAATAATTTTTCATTATTAATGCTTTTGATTTTGGATTTAATGATAATATTATTACATATACATAAATATATATAAATCTATATTAATATATCACTTGCCATAAGAGAACTTGATTTTAACTTATAATAAAACAATTATCATCCAATCACGGATTGTGTTTTCTGTATTGGTTTGATTGACAGCTTTGCTAAGACCATTTATATTCATTAAAGATTTATCAGATAGAATAGGAGTTATGAATATATACTATAAAATGCTAAAGGATCAGGTGTATTATTTCCAGTGAATGACATCTGATCTTTTTTAATTGTGTTTCAAACAATTTATTTCCATGCAGTGAAAATTCCTTGTGGTCCGAAGTTAATTTCTGTGTGAAGACAGAAAAAAGTATAACAACAGAAAAACTGTTAAGAAGATGCATCAGTTAGAAATTTATTAATAGTATATATTTTTAATTCTCTTGATTGTGAAACATTCATACGGTATACAATTAACCATTGGAAATTGGAGAAATGGTCTCAGTTAATGTCAATTTATCAAATACATTTGAGGAGGATTTAAATCTAACTGAAATATTTCAACGCTCTTTCTACTCAGTGAAATCTACTCCAATGGAACTAATTACACAATTTGTTACAATATCCATAGTGAATGTTGTTGTTCTCATTCAAGATTTTCTGATAATACGACAAATTTGTGCAAAAAAGAACCTCCAAACACCAGCTCATTTCTTAGTTGTCATGCTCTTGATGTGGGACAGCATCATGTTATTGATATTTTCTCTTTCATCATTCATCATATTGTCAAATGGTGGCATATGGATAAGTTATGTCGAGTGTCATTTGCTTTATTTTTTCATGCGACTTTTTCGAGGATTCCAAATTGGTAACTTTACATTAATTGCTGTGGAAAAGGCACTTTTTATTATTTTACCATATAAATATGAAATTATTTTTGAAACAAAAATACCAAAGATGATAGCTTTTGGAATTTATATTTTAACCAGTTTATTGTGTGTAACATCTTTTTTTGAACCAGTGAAATTTATGAGTGGACCATTAACATGTGCAAATGGAATATTTTCTAGTAATAATCCTTATCTTACAATAGGAATAATCATAAGAGGAATTCTCTTCTTCATTTGCATCCTATGTCTCTTCTCTGTGGCTGTGTTTGCTGCTTATTTTAATCGTAAAGAGAAACGAACAATAAAAAATATGACCAAGAGTGTTCAGAAAGAGTTTTTTCATGGCATGCTACGTAATATAGCCATTAATTTATCATTGACTTGTTTTTGGGGATTGCAGTGGGTGTTTATCTCACTAATGAACAATTCTGAAAACAAGGAAATGCAAGGAAGAATTGCTGCCATTTTTTATCATTGCTTTGTTGCCACAGTGAACCCAATAATGATTCGGCTTTGTTATAAACCTATCAGAAATGCTATGAAAAGTAATTTTGTTAGTCCAACTGATTCTAAAGAGGATGAACTAATGAATGAAAATATGTCCATAAATGGATTTTTGCTTGGTTCCAGTCGAACAGAACTATTTACTGTAGATATACGAGACAGTCATATGAGAAATGGTAGTTCTAGTCAATTAAAAAATACTATGTCATATGTTTAACTACATTGCAAATAAAAAATCGATTATAGCAAAATTAATTTCAGTTTGTAATATGTAGTTAGCTCACTTGTCTCTTCCTCCTCCCTCTGTAAAAAAGTTAGTACAAATAATAGTTTAAAAAATGGTGATTTTTTGTAGTGAAGGCAGGCCTTTATTAGTTTTTAGGTTTTTAGGTCAAGTTTAAGGGGAACCTATAAAGGTAGGTCAATGATATTTGGTATGCAGTTGTATTAGCATTGCCACATCTGATTTCCATTGAGATTATTTGGCCCCACTCCGTGAGTCACGGTCTTTTGACTTTGAAACTTTTGCTTAGTTTACATGTATTAACTTGTGATTAGGTCAGTTTAAGGGGAACCATTAGTGGTAGGTCAATGATATTTGGTATGCAGTTGTATTAGCATTGGCACATCTCATTTCCATTGAGATTATTTTGCCCTGCCTTCCCAGTCATGGTCTATTGACTTGAAAACTATTCCTTAGTTTACATGTTTTAGTAAGTGATAAGGTCAATTTAAGGGGAACTTTAAGTAGTAGGTCAATGATATTTGGCATGCAGATGTATTAGCATTGGCACATCTCATTTCCATGGAGATTTTTTGGCTCCCCCCTCAGTCATGGTTCATTGACTTTTGAATGTTTTGCACTATTTACATGTTAATGTTTGTGATTAGATCAGTTCAAGATGCACGACTAATGATAAGTCAATGATATTTGGTATGTAGTTGTATAGGCATTTGCAAGTCTCATTTCAATGGAGATTATATGGCCCTACACTCTCATCAAGACTTTTACACATTTACATAGTTTACAAGTTAAAGTTTGTGTTTACGTTAGTTTAAAGAGAACTGCTTATGATAAGTCAGTGATAAGTCAGTGGTATTTGGTATGCAGTTCACTTGGCATTGGCATTTCAAATTTCCGTGGACGTTATTTGACCCTGCACCTTAGTCATGGTTAATTGACTTTGAATATTGCATAGTTAACATGTTTAAATATTGTCATTTTAATTTTAACTTTTGCATTATACCATCAAAATTTCAAAACATGACACATATCTCGATGTCAACAGTTTATGTGTTGTTGGGTTGCTGTCTCATTGACATATATTCCTGATTTTCCTTATATAAATAAATCAGTAAATTTATTGTATTACTTGTGCTTGATATTCGAAATGTTAAAATTCATTGAAGACATTGGGCCTAAATGAATATTACTTACTGTAAATTCAGAAATTATTGTGAGGTTTTTATTAATACCAATAATGCAACTGGGTGACTATCGCAATAATAAGAACTCGCATTCTGATGTCTGTTACATATATTTATATGCAGAATTTCATGATATAGGATATCGCAATAATTAATCTCGCATTTTTGTCCATTCTTGAAAAATCGCAATAATAAATGCACACAATAATTTCTGAATTCACAGTACTTAAAGGAAACCAGTTCTGTTTATAGCCATCTGTTCCTCGACAGCTAATTGATCAAGCTTAAAATATGAATGTTTTGCAACTTTTTTCGTAATTTTTGATAATCTTAGATTGGTCACTGGACGTAGTTGCTTCAAAAAAGTTTATTCATATCAACACATCCAGAACGTTAAGTTTCTGCATGTTCTTGGTTTTAAATTGCCACTTAATCTGTAGTACAGAAATAATGTTGTTTTAAGTGGAAGAAACATGCCTGAATTTTGAAATAACAATAAAAAAAGAACCATGAGACCATTTTGCTGAACTAGTATACATCATGCTTAGGGGCCAGCTGACGCCTGCCTCAGGGTGCAAGATTTTCTCCCTATGTTGAAGACCCATTGTTGGCCTCTGGCTGTTATTTGCTCTTTGGTTTGGTGGTTGTCTCTTTGACACATTCCCCTTTTCCATTCTCTAGAAGTATAGTAAATGCTAATTATTACAGCTTAAAACTGAATGTGGGACAGAGAACTTTTATTGTTATACGCTGTTGTCATTAGTCAATATAAAATACTGACATCAATTGTCCTTGTTTTGCTCTTATTTTACCAATGTCACACTATGTCAAAAAAAAATGTCAAGGTTTGTCATATAATGTCTAAATAATCATTCTGAAAAAAAATCTACAAAGGTAAACTGTATAATGGTTTCTACTCCTGAAGTTGACTATATTTAAATATTATAAATCTTCAGAAAACACAGTAGTTTTTATTTTCAAATTTAAATATAAACCGTCTTAGGTGGAGAAATGAAAGATATACATTGAAAAAAATAAATATTCATAATCATTTTTTAATCTGCATGCATTATTTGTTACACTATATATAAACTATAAAGATAAGATTATTTCTTCTTTAACTGTAAGAACTATCATATTTGGAATATGATGACATGGAATGTGCGACTGTAAAAAACATTGGTTATATAGATACTGGTGAAGAAATATATGGAACCACTGCTGGCAGTACCAGAGGTGAAGGTTGGTATTATATTTTTTAACTATTATAATTTTGAATGATCCAGCAATATTTAGGGCTGGCTTATAATTTACCCTTGTCAAACCATATATCTGTGATGGGGGTAAGAGAGGGTGTCATCCAGAGTTCCCGGGAAAATAAACGCTAACTCCTGAATTCCTGAAAAATAAAGCATTTTGTCCAGGAACCTGAAAATTAATCTTTAATTCTTTAGTCCTGATTGGTATAAATCCCAAATTCGCCTAAAAATAGAGGTCCAATCCCAACTTCACGAAAAAATCCTTTAACCTCTCATCTGTACATTAGGATTTGGTTCAGAAGCAGTTGCTCCAAAGGTTTTGTTTGATGTCTTTAAATTCATTGTAAAATTTATGTTGATTTAAGATCTCATAAGGCATACAATTTCAGTAATAATTTGAATCTTATTTTTTAACCAAAATGTATAACATGGGGATTAATGTTTGTGAAATATCAAGCCTGTATACTTGCATGTTTGTCTTTTATTTAAAAAAATTCAGAAACATGGCCATAATATATGAGTTTTTCAGAAAACTGTAGGCTTTTTCAAACATTTATCAAAATATGTCCCTTTTGGGGGTAAATTACCAACATTGTTTTCTCCTTCCACAGATTGGCACTTTAAAAAAAAATTGTGCAGAATTTACCTTTTTATTTCAATTACATAAATACTTTGCAAGAATAAAGTTTGAGCATGTCCAGTACAGCAGTGAAAATTTCATACAAAATTTTATTGAATATAATAAAATATCATTCACCAGAAGTAAACTAAGCAACTTTTCACCCGTTTATTCCTGTTTACAAGCTTTAGTAGCCAGGTCACCTCAAGTTTCCAAAATATTTTATAGATACACCAAATTTAAAAAGATTGGTCCTTTGAAACACCCAAGATATATGTATATGACTCAAAAAACATTTCTACAATGAAATGCATGGTTAATTTCCTATAACTGTCTAATTCAAAGAAACATTTTTTTTCGTCACTTTTTAACATGAAACTGGAAGTGACCTTTTGGTGGTAATACACCTTTAAAAGTTTAATTTGACTATAATAGAATAGAAAAGATATGGGTATCCATCCATGACACTGAAATCAATATATGCAAAGCAATAAAAATGACCCTTTTAAAAGGGTGTATAAAAGTCCTTTTTGACCACAATGAAGCTGGGTTCCCCATAATGTCTTTGCATATTAAGAGGTCGTATCAAATAGCTTGCCAAAAAATTTAAACCTTTCTGAAAAAGATTTCTGTGTTCAAAGCTTTAAGGGCATACAATACAGTTTTGATCCCATGCTGATTTTTTTATGAACATTTATGATATAAAAATAAGAAGATATAGTATGACTGCCAATGAGACAACTCTCCACCAGAGACCAAATGACATAGAAGTTAACAACTTTAGGTAACTGTACAGCCTTTAACAATGAGGAAGACCAGTACCAGCTGATTTATGTACAAAACAATGAACAAAAAACAGATATAATATACAGCAACAAACAACAACCACTGAACTACAGGCTCCTGACTTGGAGCAGGCACATACAGAATGTAGCCGGGTTAAACAAATTTGCTGGCGCCAAACCCTCAACTATACTGGGACAGTGGTGTAACAGTTAAACATTAGCACAAACTATAAAAATCAGTTGAAAAGGGCTTAACTCATCAGATCGATACAAAGCAGAAAAACATCTAACAAAAACATAGACCGAACGTGGCAGGGTATTTATACATCCCACAACAAAAGAGACACCAAGTACAGATCCGAGAATACTAGCAGTTACTGACAGCTAGTTCAATGCCAATAACAACTAATAGAAAAAAATCATGCATCTATGTCTAAAATATCAATCAGTACACCTCCAACATCCAATGGATTTAATGTAAAGAAGTCATTATCAGTCAGAGAAAAACATGACCTTGTTTCTTAATGTTAATTAGCATACAAGCTATTTATTTACCTAGTAAATTCAAATATGCAATGAAAAATATACCTTCATTTGCTACTTTTAGGGATAAATAGTTTCTAAATTTTACTATTTTCTTTAAAGTTTCTGTTTTTCATACATTTCTATTCTTTGGGCAGATGGCTAACATTTTTGTTTCAAAAGATAAACACATGCAGATATTTGTAAAAACATTTAGAATATCATTTGTACTTTAGTATGATATTAATTGTGTAACAGTTCTTTGGAAATAATTCATTTAAACCATTTTCATTATTTTAAAAATGAAACCCGGCATTTGTTTCTGTATGTTTGTATAATTTGAAAAAAAAATTCATTGATGATTTTTCCATAAAAACAAGTACAAATAATCCTAAATAATTAAGCCAAATGTCATTTTAAAAAACAGGGATCCATGTACTCGTTTTCAAGACCATTAAAATTGGTGGAAAAATACATCTTTTCCCAATATGTCACATTTTTACGTCATGAAAAATAAATTTTTACGTTAGAGAAATTATGACCTCCCCTGTAGCTATTGTAAGTCCTTAATGTATATATATACTTTTATAGTGAGTGAACTTACGAGATACATTTATACAATTCTGTAACATATTTGTCACGTTGGCTTATATTTAAAAACTTCAGAAACCAAAGGTTCTTTTTCAGTGGTAAATTTTTCTTAATAAGGGGGAAAACAGATGACGCATGAAAAATATAAAAGTGATTCTTTTAATGAAAAAGGAGAAAAAATTCAATATGGTAGATTGTTTAGCCAGGTAATCATGCTGATTAAAAGTTATTTCTAAACCATAATGGTACATCAAATAAGAAATTATCTGTTAAACTAAGCTATTTGAAACATCAAAACAAACACAGAATATCTTATTACCATTATTTATCAAGATAATTGCATTAGAAGCTTTCTACACTGAAATTTCAAAAAATTTAATCATTGCTTCATATTGAAAAAAAAAAAAAAAAAAATTGTAAAAAATCATAAACATACAAAATCCTAAGCTCTTTCCAGTCACCAAATATTGTAGTGTTAATTCTATATAGTCCTAACATGATAAAGTTTCCCAAAATGTACTTTTTTTCCACAACTAAGTTTTTGAGCACTCCATTCTGTTCATTACCATAAGCACTTTCAATATAAAATTTTGTTTTTTTATAAATAAAATGATTTTAAAAATATGTGTGTCCCAATTAAAAAATAAAGGAAAATATTTTTGCAAAGAAGATTATCTGTTAAAAGATATTTCATATTTTAAAGGAACGGTGAGCCTTTGCCATCACTTTTCCGTCTTCGTCTGTTATCATCCGTCCTGTGTAAACTATTTCAAACATCTTCTCTGAAACTACTGAACCAATTCCAACCAAACTTAAGCTGAATGATCCTTAGGGTATCTAGAATAAACTTTGTGTTTTATTTTCTGTTTTGTCAAAAAACATGGCTGCCATGGCTAAAAATAGAACATAGGGGTAAAATGCAGTTTTTGGTTTATATCTCAAAAACCAAAGCATTTAGAGCAAATCTGTCATATGGTAAAAATGTTCATTAAGGTCAAGTTCTATCAGCCCTGAAATTTTCAGATGAATCTAACAACCCATTGTTGGGTTGCTGACACTAAATTGCTAATTTTAAGGAAATTTTGCAGTTTTTGGTTATCTTGAATATTATTATAGAAAAAAAACTGTTAACAGCAAAAATGTTCAGCACAGTTAGATCTACAAATAAGTTTTATATGACCAAAATTGTCAATTGACTCCTTAAGGAGTTATTGCCCTTTAAGGACAATTTTACACAATTTGTTTATCATGTTTTCCAACTTTAAAAAATCTTCTCCTCTGAAACTACTGAACCAAATTAAACCAAACTTAATCTGAATGATTCTTAGAGTATCTAGAATGTAGGTTGTGTTTTATATTCTGTTTCCTCAGAAAACATGGCCGCCATGGCTAAAAATAGAACATAGGGTAAAATGCAGTTTTTGACATATCTCAAAAACTAAAGCATTTAGAGCAAATCAGACAAGAAGTTAAAGTATTCATTAAGTCAAGGTCTACCTGCCCTGAAATTATCAGCCAAATCGGGTATCTGATTTTTAGGTTATTGCCCCATAATTGATGATTTTAAGGAAATTTTGCAGTTTTCGGTTTTTATCTTGAATATTATTATAGATAAAGATAAACTGTAAACAGCAAAATTATTCAGCAAAGTAAGATCTTCAAATAAGTTTTATATGACCAAAATTGTCAGTTGACCCCTTAAGGAGTTATTGTCCTTTAAAGACAATTTTTCACAATTTGTTTGTCTAGTTTGCTTACTTTAAAAAATCTTCTCCTTTGAAACTGCTCAATCAATTTCAGCCAAATTTGGGCTGAATGAGTTTCAGAGTATTTTGTATAAATTTTGTATTTTATTTCCTTGTATGTCAAGAAACATAGCCACTATAGCTAAAATGGAACATAGGGATAAAATACAATTTTTTGCTTTTGAAGAAAATATGACAGATACAAAGAACATTTAAATGGCATTTTTAAGCCACTCATTAATATATATTGAAAAGTAAAAATAATCATTGATGAAAGATTTAAGCAAAAAATTACAGGTGAACGATTCAGGCTCTTGAGAGCCTCTTGTTTTTTAACAATTTTGAGAATAGGTCGTCTGGCAGATCTGAAAACTGCTTACAAGGTACAACTCCTCCTGATAAAGTTCCAGTTCAAATACTGTAAATTCAGAAATTATTGCATGCATTTATTATGGTGATTTTTGAAGACTGAGTAAAAATGTGAGATTAATTATTGCGATTTAGGGAAAAGTTTCATACATATATGTTTATCAAATATCAGAATTGTTATTGCAATACTTGGCATTATTCACATTGATAAAAACCTCGCAATAATTTCTGAATTTACAGTATCAAATTATTCGAGTTATTGCCCTTAAGGACAAAAAATTTACAGTATCAAATTATTCCATAATACAGAAGCTAAAGAGAACCGTATATAAAAGCTCAGAATGAGTTAAAGAGTTCGTTATATAAAATATCAATGATATGAGTTTGAAGTTTAATTTAATTTTGTCTGGTCTCCTATATAGAATCAATGTAAGGTGTTAATATCTTTTTTGCCTTGTCAATTAATCTACCGTATGTTTGATATTTAGAATTATGAAATAGTTTTCTTGTCCATCTGACAGAGTTCATCTAATGTTCACATCTTTATAAAATAAGAAATGACTATGCCAAGTTTTTCTGATACTTGTAGTAAGACTTTGATCTCATTGACTCAGCATAAAAGTCAATCATAATTTTTAGCAGGAGAGACTTTTCAGTGTCAATAACTGAAAGGACATTGTTTCGTGCCAATCTGATCAGTCAGTGTCATTTCAAACTTATTTTTGCAGTGCATTCTTATTTTATGCTCTTAAACCACTCTTCTAGGTTGGATGAGGATTGAATGCTCACAATCATGTGTAACCCTGCCACATTCTTTATTTGCCCATCCAATGTCAGGACAATAATTTAGCGGTCGTTATAACAAAAGAAGCTGTCTGTCATATTTGTGTTTTCTTAAATCGGGCTTTTGGTTTTCTACCTTGAATTGTTTACATTTTGTAATGTTGGGACCTGTCAAAGGTGACTATACAGTATGGGTTTGGCTCATTGTTGAAGGCTGAACTTTGACCTGTAGTTGTTTACAACCACGTCATGTAGACTAAGGTGGATAGTTGTCTCATTTGCAATCATACTACATCTCCTTACTTTTATAGCAACAGCTATAGTTGAGACATTTGATACATATAATAACCTGGTAATTGCTTGATGAAAACAGAGAAGTGAACTCATGGTTTTGGTGAACTGTTTGATTCTTTTCATCCAATTTAAAAACAGAATATGATAAATTGTTAACTATAAAATGTCTACAAATTTTGGGGATTTGAGGAGGAAAAATTGAAATTTTGTTCATGCTTGCAGTTTAGGCAAATTATGCATTATACAAACATCTAAGAAATTTGAAAATTTTTGAACACTTTAATTTGTGGTACACCGATACCCAAGATACACAATATACACAAGAAAATAAGTACCCAATGAGTAATAATGAAAAAATTTAGCTATGTTTATCAAAAGCAAAGAAGTTTGGATACCTTAAAATAAATAAATGACTTGAGTCATCATATAAAAATTTTCATAATTGAGTATTTTTCTGTTGTCTCTATAAGGTTTTATTGTATCCAGGCATTCAACAAAATGCAAGATGTATAGATACGAAGATGATTTGAATCCACCACTTGTTGGTGAATTACAGTTAGAGAGATTTCATCCCACATCACAGTGTCTAAGGTTAGTATATTTTTTTTCTAAATAAGGCAGGAAACTGGCATTAAATTGTTTTACTTTTGTCATTTCTGGCCATTTATAGCTGACTATGGAGTATGGGCTATGCTCATTGTTGAAGGACGTACAGTGACCTATAGTTGTTAATTTCTGTGTCATTTGGTCTATTGTGGAGAGTTGTCTCATTGGCAGTCATGCCACATCTTCTTTTTACATTTATTTTATTTGATTCCATATTTAAAAAAAAAAAATGGATTCAGAAGTTACTGTGGATTCATTATTATTCGTGCAATACCAATTTTTCGTTGATTTCGTGGTTACAGGTGAACCACAAATTTAAATGTTCAACGAAGTACAAATTTTGTATAGGCTTGTATATGCAGTAAAACCACAAATATCCACGAAAATACAAAGTTTCCCCAATCCACGAAAATTGGTACCCACGAAAATTAATGAATCCACAGTAATACAAATTTAATGAAAGTAGGTGATTGTAATGCGAAAAATAGTCTTCTTTTTTGTCACATGTAAAAACAGTATTTTGTACTAGAATTTTTAAAAAGTCCGGCGTCGGATTGATGAAAGGTCAACAATGATATTTTGAATTTATCCTTAATAATTCAAATTCATTTTATTGTCATAACTCTTTAACCACTTTTTAGTATTACTTAAACTTTCTCAGAATCCCTGTTTGCCCCCTCTATCTTGTTTTTGATCTATATCATATTTGAGGTTTCCCTAATTGATTGCATTGCTTTACGGGGTAGCACGGGGGTACTATTTTCTGATTTTATTTACATTTCCTCTAGTTTCACTTGTCCTTTGTGGTAGTAGTCGAAGGATTTTGTCAGTCTGTCCATTTTGTCCAATAAATAACTATTATTTTCATACATTAAAGATAAAAACAAGAGTGAATTTAAGGTTATACAGTGTGGATGAATGGTAAAGGTAAAAAAAGGAAAAGTCTCATAAGCATATGCTTATTCTTTACAACCATTAGTTAAAAAATTAGAACTAAAAAATATATGACCTTGCAAATATTTTTGTATCAGAAGTGTTGTCTATCACCACTACTTAATTCTATTTCTTTATGTTCTAGTTCGCCAAACTTAAACTAACATTAATTATTTATACAATAAAACTCAACACATGTATCAGAAATGAGCTCTCCTTGTAAGAGTAGCATTATTATTATCCAATGTATAATATAACTCAAACAGTTCATTTGTCTTTTCAAGCACACTACAGCCCATTCTCAGTTGTTACTAAGGTATCAAAACAGTCATGCAAATAAGGCTCAATCACAGCTATACAGTCAAAACATACAAATATACATCAATCTACAAAACAAGAAATACAAAGTTAATATTAAGCATAATAATGCATTATAAATAACCCTTACTGTCCACAGGGGGGGGGGGCTTAAAAACAGGCAAGGAAGTAGTAAGGAATGTGCTATTCAGCGTAAGGCAGAACTTTGAATAATAACATTATAAATTACATTTAATCTATATGGAACAGCAAGCACAAGAAACACGAGCCAAATCATACGATACATAGAATACCTGTTTAATTTCGGAGAATTATACCTGCAATGCTACAAATTTCCTCCAATTGGAAACCATTGTAAACTTTGTCATGAAATAGAAGTTCCTTCATAATATAAGTTCCAAGTGGAAGAAATATTCTGTAATATTATTTCCATTGGAGCAAATATTACAGTATTTGTTCCTTACGGAATAAGGGTATGGAATATTTGTTCCAACAGGAACAGATATTATGACATTGTTTATAACAAAGTTTCCAGGGGAACTTCTGTTAGGCGGAACAAATATACGTTGACAACATTACAGGTATTCTAAAACACTTGTTGATGTAAACAAACATGCGTGTTTTACCAAAACAAATACGTGTGCTTCTGTACTATTAATAAATATATTTATTTTCAGTCCATATATTCCTGGAGAATGTTTGACGGCAACTAATGTAGGGTCTGTTTACCTGTGGTCTCAAGAAAGGTAAATCTGCAAACTTAGATTATGGGAAATCTTGATCAAATACAAGAGCTTGAAGGAGAAGAATTCATTGGAAAGAAAAAATATGTCTGATCCCCTTTCTTTTGTGCAAATAAAATAATCATAGAGTATATCAAAACATAAATTCTGATTTTAAGTTACAAAATTTTGGTTGTGTTACTGACTTGACTGTAAGTGTTGCTCTCCACCTATTGCAGTTTGTTCCAAATTCTGACCAAATTGCAATTTGTTTATTAAACCAAACTGTTCAAATGGTCAGAAATTTTAATAAACTGCTGTAGATAAATACAGTCAAGTCATGAAAGTGCAAGGTGATACATGTAATATAAAGCATACTTACAATCCTATTAGACTTTAATTCCACTTCATTGATATTATGACAATCATTCAAAGAATTTCTATGCACATCATTACTGTAATTGTCATACTAAAGGTGATATGTAGTAATTTTTTAATTGCTAAAAAAAATGTTAAATCAGAATTTGGAATAAACTGCAATAGGTGGAGAGCAACACTTACAGTCAAGTCACAGTAAGACCACTAATTTTGCACTCCTTGTTGCATATGCATAACTATTGTCTAGATAGGCAAAGATGGGCTATCTGAGGTATTGGCATCACCAGTATTGAAATCTGTTGTTGTTGTTGTAATCCTTGGTGATCCTTAACTTAAAAAAACAACAACCTTAAACCACAGAACCATTTACATGTACATGTATAACCAAACTTGGACTAAACAATCTTAAAGGTGCCCCACCAAAATAGAAACTATATAGTATGAAAGAATTTGTAAACAGCAGAAAAAAACAGAACAATAAGATTTACAAATATGTTAACCTAACCAAAGATGTTAATTTTTACACATTTTTGTCTCACCTGCGACAAAAGCAGTAATCGAGACATAGGTAATACTATTCGGCGGCGTAAACTATTTATATAAAGCTTTATATTTCAGAAGGTAGAAGACCTGGATGCTTCATATCTTGTATGCAGATACATGTACCTTATGTTACGAAGTTTCCATCAACCATATGTCCATTGTCCTTGACCCCATTTTCATGGTTCAGCAACTGCTTGGAAAAAAAATTGATTTTGTTTTGTCATGTGATTTTCTCACTTATTTTGAGTAATAGGATAACTAAATTTGGTATATGGGTTCCTTGTAACTTCTACATGTCCATCAGACAGAGTTCACCTGACCTTGACCTCATTTCATGGATCAGTGATCAAGGTTAAAGTTATGTGATTAGGTCTGTTTCTCAAATACTATAAGTAGTAGGTCAACTATATTTGGTGTATGGAATGGTCAATTTTTTTTCCTCAAGATTTACGAAATTATCAATTTTTCAAAAAACTAAATTGGGAGTCACAATTTATTTTGCTATTTCTTTGTATATAGTCTGAAAACAGATTTACTAAGTATTGCGCAACAGCACAGTGTATTGCACAACAGTAAGAAATCTTCAATTGAATATAAATTCAAATCATATAACCAATTTCAAGTTCTTTGACTACATTTATTCTGTGTCAGAAACCTATAATGTGTCAAATATTTAATTACAATCCAAATTCAGACTGTATCAAGCTTGAATATTGTGTCCATTTTTGCCCCAACTGTTCAGGGTTGGACCTCTGTGGTCTTATCCATCTGCGCTCGGCAAAGCACATTTCTGGCACATATCTTGGAAATTATAAAAGAAAGAGAGAAACAGTAAAAATGATCAGCAATTTAAGACCAACACAAATGCTAAATGACTGAAACAAAGATCTTACTCCTGTAAGAGTTTTCACCCTTAAATGATGATTTTAACTAATTTTTAGCTCACCTTTCCAAAGGAAATGTGAGCTTTTGCCATCACTTGATGTCCGTCGTCTGTCCGGTGTAAACTATTTCAAACATCTTCTCCTCTGAAACCAATTCCAACCAAACTTAAGCTGAATGATCCTTAGGGTATCTAAAATAAATCTTGTGTTTTATTTTCTGTTTCGTCAAAAAACATGGCTGCAATGGCTAAAAATAGAACATAGGGGTAAAATGCAGTTTTTGGCTTATATCTCTAAAACTAAAGCATTTAGAGCAAATCTGACATGGGTGTTAAAATGTTCACAAGGTCAAGTTCTATCAGCCCTGTAATTTTCAGATGAATCTAACAACCCATTGTTGGGTTGCTGCAAGTAAATTGGTAATTTTAAGGAAATTTTGCAGTTTTTGGTTATTATCTTGAATATTATTACAGATAAAGATAAACTGTAAACAGCAAAAATGTTCAGCAAAGTAAAATCTACAAATGAGTTTATATGACAAAAATTGTCAATTGACCCCTTAAGGTGTTATTGCCCTTTAAGGACAATTTTACACAATTTGTTAATCATGTTTTCTAACTTTAAAAAATCTTCTCCTCTGAAACTACTGAACCAAATTAAACCAAACTTAAGCTGAATGATTTTTAGGTCATGTAGAATAAAGTTTGTGTATTATTTTCTATTTCGTCAGAAAACATGGTCGCCATGGCTAAAAATAGAACATTGGGTAAAATGCAGTTTTTGACTTATATTTCAGAAACTAAAGCATTTAGAGCAAATCAGACAAGAAGTTAAAGTATTCATTAGGTCAAGGTCTACCTGCCCTGAAATTATCAGCCAAATTGGGTATCTGATTTTTAGGTTAATGCCCCGAATTAATGATTTTATGGAAATTTTGCAGTTTTCAGTTATTATCTTGAATATTATTATGGATAAAAATAAACCGTAAACAGCAAAAATGTTCAGCATTGAAAGTAATATCTACAAATAACTTTTTATGACCAAAATTGTCAATTGACTCCTTAAGGAGTTATTGCCCTTTAAAGACAATTTGTCACAATTTGTTCATCTAGTTTGCTTACTTTAAAAATCTTCTCCTTTGAAACTGCTGAATCAATTTCAGCCAAACTTGGGCTGAATGAGTTTCAGAGTATCTAGTATAAATTTTGTATTTTATTTCCTTGTACATCAAGAAACATAGCAACTATGGCTTAAATGGAATATAGGGGTAAAATGCATTTTTTTGCTTTTGAAGAAAATATGACAGATACAAAGAACATTTAAATGGCATTTTAAGCTACTCATTAATATATATTGAAAAGCAAAAATAATCATTGATAAAAGATTTAAGCAAAAAATTACAGGTGAGCGATTCAGGCTTTTGAGAGCCTCTTGTTTGAATGCTCATATCTTAAAAACAAACCCACAGACCTATGTTAAATTGTTCATAATTTTGATTTGTTACACATTTTCTTTGAAAAAGTGAAATGTTGCTAGTAGGAGTACTTATGATTAGATGCAATGTCCTGCCACTGAAATTCCAAAAATAATACAATTCTCCAATCATTTTTTCTGTTAATAAATGAACAATATGCATACCTGATTTGAATATGGACACGTCAGAACTGAAATGTCTGTATAATAGATTTTCTCTGCTTATTATAGTTTTTAAGATAAAGGATAACTTTCTTCAAAGAAAATGTGTAACAAATTAAAATAATAGAAGATTTAACATAAGTCTGTTGGCTTTTTTTGAGTTTTGAGCATTTGATGTTAGTTTTTGTACAATTTTGTATTTAATGCATGAAGTTTGAAGTCCTAAAGCAAATACATAAATCACTATTTAAAACATCTCAAGGATGACATATGATAAAAATATGATGCTTGCTAATATTCTTCTGACCTTTCAACAAAAAACATCAATCACTCAAAACAAAGACTATGATATAACGTTTCTTTGATAGAGTTAAGTTTCAAATGTACATTGGCTTTTGAAACATTATAGTATAAGTCTTGATAAATTAAATCTATATATAAAGGATGAAATAAAATATACAAAAACCTTTGTAAATTGTAACCATGTATGCTTTTTTTAACAGCTGTTTATTATAAAGACTTGTATGGTCCACATTGTCTTAAATATATTTTATAAAATCAAATCTATTGATTTCCTACCAGTCTAAAGATTAAAAGGAAGTAAATAAAGATGATTGGCACCACCTAGATTTCACATCCAAGATAATAGGTAGAAGTAAATTTATTTTCTGCTGCCCTAGTAATTAGAAGTCAAAATTGAAATAGTGAGAAATGAGTGTTGGCCATTGGTGTAGAAATAGCGAGAAATTTAGAGAAAACTCTCTGTGACGGGAAACATTTTCTGTGCCAAATTTAGCAAGGGGTGTTCTTCATTTATACTATTACGAAAATTCCGGAACCGTCGAGTACCCTTAAAAAATGCCATTTTTCTATCAAAAAAGCTGCAACACCATATGTGTTTTGCAGTTCCTATTACACCCAAATGTGTATATAATTCAGATTTCCACATTTTTTTCAATGGATCTTTGATAGGGAAAACGCAGGACCAAAAAAGGCTACCATTGTCGCCTATGTAAATAATTACTTCCTTGTAACCTAAACTGGATTGGAGCAAATTAAGGGAGATAACTAATAACATTAAGACTGTATCAGAAAGAAGCCTGAACTTGTTAATGTTTAGTAATTATTAATAATTCAGAATGCAAAGGAATCTGGATGGATAAAATTTCCAGATTTTTAAAGGTTCTGATGTATATAAGATATAAAGTTGAAATCTTTATTTTGTTAGTGTTACACGATGACAGCCCAAATGATGGACTTCAAAATGGTCTTTCATGGACAAAAGTTTCTGGCTGGTCTTAATCAAGATCATACAGTGTTTTAATATTAAGGTTTCCTTTCATATCAACAAAAAATCCATCTACAGATAGTAGCAATAGTATTATTACCCTCATGACGAAGGTGAATATACAATTTCCTCCAACAGGTGATTGTCTGCATTCGATTGAAAATTCATAGTCAATCAATTATTGTTGCTAATAATGTAATTCTCATATTGCAGATGTGTTATAGTTGTTACATATATTGTGATGATGACTTTTGGTTTTAATAAATCAATTAAGGTAATCTAAGACGATTGAAGTC